TTCAAAAAATTAGTAGAAAATAGGTTTGAAAAGAAGATAAAGATCCTCCAAACAGATGGTGGAAGAGAATATAGAAAGCTAGAACAAGTTGCCATAGAATCAGGGATTGAACTTAGAATGTCCTGTCCTTACACATCTGCACAAAATGTCAGGGTAGAAAGGAAGCATAGGCATGTCACAGAAACAGGATTAACTCTCCTAGCTCAAGCACAAATGCCTTTACACTATTGGTGGGAAGCCTTCAAGGCTGCTACCTTCCTGATAAATCGATTGCCAACTCTTATTTTACAACAAAAATTCCCTTTTCAGACTCTCTACAAAAGGGACTTTGACTACAAAACTTTGAAAACCTTTGGTTACACCTGTTACCCTTGCTTGAGACCCTATCAAAAGCACAAATTCGATTTCCATTCTCAAAGGTGTGTTTTCCTTGGTTATAGTTATTCACATAAGGGTTATAAGTGCCTAAGTCAAACTGGTAGAACCTACGTTTCAAGCCATGTGATATTCAATGAGTCAGAATTCCCTTTCAAAATCGGTTTTCTAAATATATATGCTCAACCCCAGGTTTTATACAAGGTTACCACCTATCTTCCAGTTGAGACTAAAACAGATCACACCATAACACCCCATAGTAAGGTTGATACAATTGATCCTACTGTCTCAAATGCTGCAGGGTCCTCCAACAGATTTTCACAGCATAAATCTGAAGAAAAGATAAATGCAGATGACAGAATTCAGGGTACTGAAGTGGCAACTGAGGGTACTAAAATGGTTCAAGGAACCTCCATTAGTGCTGAAGCTTAGACCCTCAGCAAAATGAAAATATTGAACTGGAAGATGGTATTGAAACTGAAGTTGAAGGTGCCACTCAAGAAAGGAAACATCATATGGTCACCAAGAGTAGGTTGGGAATCTTCAAACTAAAGGTTTATACCTGTCAAGATCAGAATTTTGAGACTGAACCTCAAAGTGTTGATGAAGCATTAACGAGTACTAAGTGGAAAAGGGCAATGCAAGAAGAATATGATGCACTGATACGCAATAAAACATGGAGACCCAGGGATTAAAATAATTGGCAATAAATGGGTATATAAACTGAAGTGTGATTCAGAAGGTAAAGGTCAGGGCATAAAGCAAGGCTTGTTTAAAGGGTTTCTTACAAATACCTGGAGTAGACTTTAGTGAAACCTTTAGCCCAGTTATCAAGGCATCAACACTCAAGATTGTACTTACCCTTGTTGTCAGCAGAGATTCGAAAATCAAGTAGGTTGATGTGAACAATGCGTTTCTGAATGGCAAGCTAGAAAAGGAAGTATATATGGATCAGCCTCAAGGCTTTGTGGATAAGAAAAAACCTGGTTTTGTGTGCAAGCTAGAGAAAGCCCTCTATGGACTGAGGCAAGCCACAAGGGCATGACATGAGGAGCTAAGAAAAATGTTGTTGTAGTGGAATTTTAGGCAATCAAGGGCTGATAACTCTTTGTTCTTCTTGATGGATGTGCTTTTGTGACTAGTATACGTGGATGATATAATTGTGACAAGAAACAACAGCAAATAGATACAATGATTCATAGACAGGCTGAATAAGTGTTTTGCACTCAAGGATATGGGATATCTAATTTTTGGAAATTAAAGTGAGAAGAACCAAAACGGGACTGCGTCTAACACAAACAAAATATGCAATTGACCAAATTAGGAAATTTGGCTATGAGAACTTGAAGCCAAGCCTTATACCCATGGCTGTTGGGAAACAAGTCTCAAAGGACGAAGAACACTTAATGAAAGACCCGACACTCTATAGAAGTGCAATTGGTAGATTGCAATACTTAGCGCACACAAGGCCAGACATCACTTATGCAGTGAATAAAATGAGTCAATTCCTTCAGTCACCCACAGATGTTCACTGGAAGATACTCAAGAGAATTTTTTAATACCTCAAAGGAACATTGTGCTATGGATTAGCCATCAGGAAAGGTGATAGCTTGGAATTGACAGCATTTACTGATTCAGACTGGGCTTCGTGCCCTGATGATAGAAGGTCCACTGCTGGATATTGTGTATACTTTAAGGATAACCTTGTATCGTGGAAGTCCAAGAAACAGCAGGTGGTTGCCAGGTCCAGCACCGAGGTTGAATATAGAGCACTGGCTCACAGCGCAGCAGAAGTGACTTGGATACAATCCTTGTTTAAAGAGTTGATTATATCGTAGCAAATAGTTCCAAAGGTCTGGTGTGACAATCTGAGTGCGAGTGCACTGACCTCAAATTTGGTTTATCACGCTCGCACCAAGCATATCGAGTTGGATGTCCATTTTGTCAGAGACAAAGTTCTGATGAAGCAACTAGAGATTTGCTATGTACCATCGTCGGATCAAATTACAGATGTGTTGACAAAACCCCTTTCACATTCTAGATTTCTATTCTTTAGGGACAAGCTTGGAGTGATCAAGACTCACTCCACCTTGAGGGGGGTGTTAGAATAAACGAATCATCAGGTGGACCAAGGATATAGCCGTTGCTGGTAGCTGTACTGATTTCCTAGTGGACGTACTTCTTAAATTCAGAAGTGGAGAATATTTTTGTTACACACTTGGCAACCATGTATAGGTGATAGAATATAAGTTTGTTAAATGTTTTTTTCTTTGTACTGAACACATGTCTATATAAGGAGAATGTAAAGAGGAAATCAAACGAGATGAATATACAGAGGAATTTCATTCTTTTACTTTTTTGACAAGCAGAGATTTATATTTAATGCTGGAGAAGTAAGCACTACTTGGTTTTAGTTCTTTACTTTAAAAGATGGAAACTTTTCATTCTTTAAATTGTTGGCACTTGCAAGAATTTTTAGTGGAAATTTTGTAAATTTTGTAGTAAATGCAAAGAACCCTCGAAAACCTAAATTGAAAAACACTGGACGAAAGGCCCAAAAATCAAGAATATGAAAAAAGAGGGAAGGCAAAGTGCTGCCTCCAAAATATGCCAAGTTTATATCTTAAGAATACATTTTCTTTTTCACCCAAAAGAAATAAAAAAAATATATAGGAAAGTAGAATGGGAAGAACCTGTCATTCTTCAAAATTCATTCCTCTCTCAAATCATTGACTATATAGTAGGTGCAACTTAAGCAGAAGTTCATAGTAAGGTTTTTGGGTGAAATAATCTCATATAATAAGAGTTTATAAATGGGATATGAAACACCTCGAACTTGGTGCATTTTAGGCTACAACCTTATTGAAAAGATGGGTAAGTTTGAGGACCTAAGTTTAAAGTTTCCATTCTTGAGGGACTTAAGTGCAAATATTGAATATATTGGTTTTCCTGGGAAAATAGTTAACTTAGCATGAATAATAACAATACAAATGTTATTATTTGTGGAAATTTTGAAAAAGTTTTGAGACTTGGTTGGAACGATGAGCCGAGCAATCAAGGGCTGAAGTGTAACTTTAGAAAATGCTTACTTTATGTGAAAATAACATATTTGGGTTAAAGACATTTTAATTTGGGCTTAATGTGAATTTTGGACTAGGCCCTCGAAAAGGCATATTTGGAATTGGGAAAAATTTATGGGTCAGG